TTAAGACTCTCAATAGCCTGTCATATATCAGCATGTTTGCTGAGCTTTATGATATAGAATTAAAACTCTCAGTGATCTATCAATGAAAGGAGTGAAGCAATTTATAATGTAGAGGATTAAGCTCTAAGAATTAAAGACTAGTTCTACTATATAACAAGGACAAATTGCTTGAAAAAGGGAAGAAAAGAATGAGATAAAAACACAAGCTTAAGCAAGCTCACGTAGCATGATCATGTATGCATGTGCAAATGATGGCTAGGCTGAGTCAGCCAGTCAGAGCGAATCTAAGAGTTCAGCCTCTTATAAATATTTACTATATCTATATATCTACTCTTCTATAATTCTAGTTATAGAGCTTCTCATACTTTCTTTTAATACTTAGTTTATTTGTTTTAAGTATTCTTATATATACTATCATAAGTATCTAAAAATAGACTAAGAGATAAGAATTGAACAAAAAATATAAAATACTTCAACTGCTAAAGTAGAGATTATATAATATAAAATTACTTATAAAAGCAAGAAACAGATAGAAAAGAAGTAGATATTGAAACTATTATTATTAAATCAAAAAAAAATAAGTTTGAGAGAAGTCTTTTTTTAGATAATATAATTACACTAGAGACTTTGAACATAAATAAACTGATAAGCGAAAATTCTTTTACTATATATATTAAGATAGCTTTTAATAAATATATTATTTTTATAAAATTATTAATAAATTATAAAATAAATTGCTATATATTTATTAATTTGAGTTTTATATAAAAATATATCAAAGTTTTAAAAATAAACTCTGAAGAATTAAAAAAAAATTATTAAATTATAAACTTTTATAATCAAAAAAAATCTCAATTATAAGAATTATCTTTATATTTATGAATAGATAAGAGAAGATTTCTCAATATATTAATATTATTAATAAATCTGAGAAGCACTGATATAATTCTAGAAGAAATTTGATTAATAAAATAAGAAATATAATTAGATATAAAAAATTAATATATAGTTTGATCAAATATATAAATTTATATAAATGAAATATTAGAAGAATATAATACAATAATTTTAAGAAAAATTTTAAAAAAATTAGTAATAAAGTCAGAGTATTAATAAAATACAGATTATAATAATAAATTTACTGATAAAAAATTCAAATATAAAGTTATTTAAAGAAAATAATATTATAAATAATAAGAATAATTCTTTAAAAATATCTATAAGAGCTCAATAAATGAATAAATCAAATAAGTAATAAGTATGATAATTAAATAAAAAGAAATTAGCTTTTAAAACTTTGCAAAATATAATATTTATTAGAGATATGATCATTTATTATCATGAAAAATGTAAAAAGTAAGGGATTTTCATTTTAAGTCTCTGCAAAATAGATAAAATTATTATGAAAAAAAAGATTATTATTAATATTAAATTGAAAAATAAATAATTAATAAATAAATACTTGTTAAAGAACTATATATAAGGGGCTGAACCCCTAGATTCGCTCTGGCTGGCTGACTCAGCCTAGCCATCGTTTGCACGTGCGCACGTGATCATGCTACGCGAGCTTGCTTAAGCTCATGTTCTCATCTCATTCTTTTCTTCCCTTTCCCAAGCAATTCGTCCTTGTTATATAGGAGGACTAGTCTCTAGTTCTTAGAGCTTAACCCTCTACACATTATAGTTAAATTCTAATATAAATAGATAAATATTATAATCATTAATTATATACTTCTTAAATAAAAAAAAACAAGAATATTATTATTATTATTATATTATTTAATATATTAATTATTAATTAAGTTATTGAATTTATTATTTAATATTATTTTATTTTCTTTGAAGTTTATTATAAATATTGATAAAAATTTATTTTTTCTTTAAAAAATAATATATATTTTATTAATAAATTAAATATTTAATTTTATGAATAATAATAATATTTAAAACATATTAAATAATACATGAAAATATTTCTTACATATTATTTACAGCTTCTTCTTAACAAAAGGGCTTTATAACCTGATAAAAAACAATGCTACATGTGAGTACTAGTTAAACTACTGGCATAAAGGCCCAATCGCAATCATAGTCTATTGAACTAATGGCGAGGACAATTCCTTAGAAGTCACATGATCCTTAGCAGAATGACGCGAGTGATTACTCATCATGGATAATCCAAGATATCCCATTCAGCAAATTTGAAGAAATCCCGACGTCGAGACTTCAGCATCAACATCAAGTTACACCTAACGCATTGCCATGTCAATGGCGAGGCCTCTGTTGATTCAGGCTGCCAATTGAGTGCAACCTGGATTGGCCATGGCCTTTCCGTTGTTAATGTTACGCACTGGCGTGGCTCTGGACGCTGCCGCGCTTTGTTCCCGCTGCTTCACCCTCTTAATTTCGCAGCCAGCGGATGTCTCGCGGAGAGGCTTCTCCACAACTAGGGTCCTGCAAAATGCGGAATATCGGGCCACAATTTTGCCTAAAGTTTTGCAGCAAGCCTACCTTTCTTCCTGTGGACTACCCAGAAGTTCATTGTCTCAGCGTGTTGTCGTTCAACGGTTAAGAAAAGAATCACAACATACCGATCGCTCCGCTCTCTTTCACTCCGTACCTCCTTCTATTGATACCCAGTCCTCATTCGGCACACCAATTGAGGCAAACAGGAAACATGGATCACCTGCTACTTCCCCCAAAGAACTTCCGCATCGAAGACGGCAACGATTGAAGGCTGAGCAGGAAGCCAACTCTAAATATGAGATTCGTCCTGATGCCTCAACCCGCCTTTCCACCATATCCTCATCTCTCCCGAAGACTTCTCTGCGGCGGACAATGGCAACATTCCTTGCCCTTACAAAACCAAACCTGTCCTTCCTCGTTGTTCTCACCGCTACAACCGCTTACGGCCTCTATCCTATTCCAACGCTGCTAGCGCTAGACCCATCAGTGACACCTCTCCCCGCTCTCTCTACTTCTACTCTTACCTTTCTTTACCTCACAACCGGTACATTTCTCTCTTCCGCAAGTGCCAACACTTTAAACATGTTGTTCGAGCCACAACACGATGCCCGCATGACCCGCACCCGTAACAGGCCCCTCGTTCGCAAACTCCTCTCCCCCAAGGCTGCTCTCTTGTTTGCCGCGCTCACAGGTACCGTCGGCATAATCGCACTATATATGGGCACAAATCCAACCGTCGCTGCTCTATCTGCATTTAATCTTTTCCTATACGCGTTCGTCTACACCCCCCTCAAACGTATATCTCCTATAAACACCTGGGTAGGCGCCATTGTCGGTGGAATCCCACCTTTAATGGGCTGGATTGCTGCCACTGGCCAAACCGCTACAACTGGCCATGATACCTGGCGCGATCTCCTCTTCGGCCCTGACAGCCCCGGTGGATGGCTCATGGCCGCAATCCTCTTCGCCTGGCAGTTCCCGCACTTCAATTCCCTCTCCCACACTATTCGCGAGGAGTACAAGAACGCAGGTTACAAAATGCTTGCGTGGATGAATCCCGCGCGGAATGGCCGGGTGGCCCTTCGTTACTCGATCCTCATGTTTCCATTGTGCGCTGGTCTTTGGTGGGCTGGTGTGGTCGACAAAGGATTCTTGATTGGGGGAACGTTAGTCAATTGTTGGCTAGCCAAGGAAGCTTATCGGTTCTGGAAATTTCAAGGAGCAGGTGGAAGCGCAAGAGGCCTATTTTGGGCTAGTGTCTGGCATTTGCCGTTACTTATGGTTGGTACGCTTATTACTAAGAAAGGTATTTGGGATGGGGTGTGGAGAAGGGTGTTTGGCGAAGATGAGGAGGATATAGAGGACGAAGAATTCGAACAAGACGAGATGGAGGAGGAGGGCAATGTTCCCGCGGATGCATCATTGCCCATGAAACCGATACCGTGACCATATCGTTCTTCATATCGGGAGGGGAGAAATAAGAGAACATGTACCTGTACACTATATTATGTGTTTCGTATATACTTATCGGCGCAACAATTTATTGCCTGTGATCACTTTAACCGCGTCACGAAAACAGATGCGTAGATGTTAATATGCGTCTAAATTGGTACAGATATGCTGTCTCTCCACTCGGGATCTGGATGAGCCAACGCCGTTGTAGGGTGATATAAAAATCTTTCTTCTGATAAACAGGAATACCCGCAGGGCATCAATGATGACCTGAGCTGAATCTTCAGTGTCATGATTAGAGAATGTCGACGTTGATGCCCCTTCTCAGTTTGCACATTAAAACTTCGCTGAAAATGAATTGACTGCGCCATCAAAACGCGATCATAGTGTTGCTGAGTGACAATAACGTATCGGAACCAATGGACATGGAGTTTGGCAAGGAGAAGCCTTCATCAACGAAGAAAGACAACTAAGCAAGTTGCCATTGAAAATTCCTTTATCTCGAAAAGGTAGCAAACCTACCTACCCCCTTAAAGCTTTGAAAATAAGAGTCATTTTCTGTCGAGGTTGCACGTGAGCCCCATGCAAAGCCTCCTGCCCCATGCAAAGCCTCCTTAGTCAGCCAAACCAATAACGTGGGGCAACGATCAGCCAATCAGGACCAACTTCCCCACGCGGAAACGAATTCCTTCCTTTCTGGGACTAGCGGATGTAAGTTCATTGCAAGAACATCATCACAAGGATTTGATGATGTCGATGAAGATGGACCCGACGGAGATGGCGATGGTGATGGCGATGGTATGGAGGTTTACAAGGCAATTGGGTGAGGGCTGAATCTGTCATATCCTGTGAACATCCATGCTGTCTCGCCCTGGTACCTCGTTTAACCATATATCAGGTAACTTTGATGTCTGGTGAAGGACACTTTGCTAACAGCTGTATTCAGCCAGAGCGTTTATATATACGGCATGTCCACCTAGTCTACTCAGTATAAGCTCTGGCTTACTGCTATCGGCGTTCAGATGTACCCGCTTATCGTTTACGCTTAACCACAATTTGTCTCAATCTAACCTCGAAACATCATGTCCATACCAAAATCATCTCTATCCCCATCCACCCAGCGTCGACAAGATAAAGAGCACACTCAAGAGTTGGCCACTCCTTTAAACCGTGTTATTCGAAATCAGGTGGTGTTTCGCGTCAAAGATCCACGACGGCAACAGCCGATTAAGTCATCGCAGCAACAAGTCATCCAACCTGTGGAGTACCCGATCTTCCGTCCCCGGAAACCTCACCGGAAATCGAGGACCGGCTGCTGTAATTGTAAGAAACGCAGGGTTAAGGTATGCTTTTTCCATTTCCAATTCTATTCATTTCCTTGGTTGCACAGGAGGTCCTTAGTCTGCATAGATGCAGGAACGTATGTAGCGTGTTTTGTGTTGGGTCTAGATGCAGTATATCTGACGGTAATTTATCCATGGTTTTCAGTGCGATGAAACCAAACCAGGCTGCCGAAAGTGTGACGTTTATGGCATATCCTGTGATTACTTGGTAATGGAATTCCAATCAAAGTCAAAATCTACATTCCGATTAGCAAAGGAGTTTTCTCAAGTCTATGAGATTGATTCCACCACCTATTCACTGGCCATTGCCGACCTTGCGGACAAAATAGACTCAGCATTGCGACTTCCTCCCAGTATTGACGATGATCTCAGTAATTTTATCACAAAACCTGCTCATCGTGATTCTGTCGAAGCTCTCTATCATTTTTTAGCCCTCCCAGGCGAAAACTCCGGCCTTACCGAGGCCGGTAAAGATGTGGCAAAGGGGGACATGTTGCGTGTAGCTTTTCAGGTAGTTACTATCATATGCCATTCTCTTTCTAAATTCTGGATCCCACACGACCCTAACATTAATTATTTTAGACTCCATATCTCATGCATGCTATTCTGGGTGCTGCTACAACCAGCCTCAGACGATTACACTCATGGGGCTCGTCATTCAGAATGGCCGAAAGCTACCATTGGCAGCGGGCCATCAATCTGTATCAGAAAGAGCTATTTACTCCCATTGGCGTGCATAACATGGATGGTCTCATGTCGACCTGTCTGCTCCTGGGCGTTCTCTCTTTCGCGGTAGAAGAGTACAAGCCGGAGGAATCCTGGCTTTTCTCACCGGACCCTAAAGCTCTAAACTGGCTTCTCGTCCAATCTGGACTCAGGCACCTCCTCAGATTCACAGGCCCTTTTTTGTCTCAGAGCATCTGGTACAAAGTCTTTATGGAATCTGATGACGAACACCACACATTTGATGACCACCGCCCAGGCACTGAGGGTCTTCACCCTGCTCTAGCTGAACTTTGTGAAATCGATGAAACTACAACTGAAGAAACAAACCCTTATCATTGGCCACTTCGCATGCTTAGTCCGTTACTGAATCTGGTGCCCTGTAACGAAAACTCGAGCAAACTAACTTCGTTCATGGGCCGGCTGCTACCTGATTATACTGACCTTTTGCAAAAGAAAGACCCGAGAGCAATTCTCATCTTAGGCTACTGGCTAGCAAAGAAGTGTCAAGAAAATCAGTGGTGGATGCAACCGAGGATTCATGCCGAATGTGTCGCTGTTTGCATGTTCTTAGAACATAGCATGGACCCTCGAATGCTGAAGCTGCTTGAATACCCAGCCGAGCATTGCGGGTATCTTCTGAAACATGTTCGAGAATGCACGACATTTGAGGTGAATATTGACCTTGTGTGCCTCTTTTAAGAGTAGTGCAGAAGTGTCGAGAGTTCTTCCGGTGTCCACGGCACCCAATAACTCTGTTATCATTTCTCTCGCAACTGAAGATGCCTTCAAGTGTGATTAAATCTGGTAGACTTTGCTCCAATCTCCCTCCACATTAACATGCACTAAATATCACAACATGTTTCCGTGCTCAGACAGAACAGCTCTGTTCCTTGGCTACAATATTTGTCTTCGCTCTTCAAACGAGATTGACACTCAAGCATCAATCTATGAACGGATTTCAAGGCTTTCATTGTATCTTCCTCTTGTGAATGTTAAAAATTATCTCTTTTGGTTTCCATAGGCAATCCCGATCCACAACAGCTCTCATGTTTCCCGTATACCTAGATTCCACGATTTTTGCCTAGCTCACCGGTAAAAGGGAGCTAAGAGATTTCTTATCTTCTGCGTTGATATGTTGCAATTGAGCCAGGAACCATTTTGAAATTTAGTTTATTTGGATATACAACTATATTTAATCGCCAAACCTATCATTCCAAATCCCACACCTCGCAAAGAGTTGATAGCTTGGCGGCAACAGTGAACAGCTGGCTGGCAGGCAGAAGGTCCCTTATGAGGTATGAATATGTACAACCCCTCTGGAAGACCCTTTGCATTTGCAACAGGGGCTTTTAATCAACAATTCGAAATGCTATTTTTCGTCTGTTAGACAAAATCACAGGGGGGAAATTTTGAAAATAAAGGAGCTGCAACAGAGAAAACAAGAAAGATTCGTCGCGAAAGAAGGTAAAGTAAAAAAGAAAAGCCAGGGACAAAACCAAAAACAACACTCGCTGCGTAAAAGTGTGGACTTTAAATGGTGACATGACATTCCAGCAATCATATGAAAGGAATAAAAGAGCCATAACCTCGTCAGAAGGCAAGAAAAACCAAAGAACAACACTACTTGTTGTATCTTGACTTCGAAATAACCCACGCCTCCCACAGTTTCCGTTGTCGATACTCCACACTGAACCCATTGTCCTCCAGTTCCTCGGTAGATATCGACATCAGGGGCGTTGTCCAGTGTGAAAAGGGTGATATCAACGAAACAGCAGTATCTGGTGAAAGCTCAATCTGGTTAGCCCTAGGCCCATCGTCCGCATTATGCGAACTCATCCCATCTGATTCATCGCCAATGCTATCGTCATCGTCATCGTCGTTATTTTCCACATTATGAATATCGAAAATATCATCATCCTCGCTGTCAGAATTGGGGAATGACTGGATATCAGATATATTCGCGCTTGTCGCCCACTTCTCATCAAAGGCGTTGGAATAGTCAATCCGTCGCAGGCTGACCCATTCCAAAATATCCATCTCCTCGCGTAGCATGGAAAGGACGTCTTTCCACCTATTCCCTTCTTTGAGAAGGACGTCACGTAGCCGGAGACCGCGGAGCGTTTTGTGGTGTCGTCGCGCGAAATCGATAATTTCCTGGGAGTCCAAACGCCAGGCCTGTATGCCGAAAGCACGTAGTTTTTCCCAGTATACGTTGTGGAATATATCCTCCAGGCGCAGGTCAAGTGGTATTCTCGATGGGAATCCTAGGTGCACGGCTTCCATGTTTTTGGCAGCCATGAATAAAGTGCGAAAAACTTCTGATAATTCTCGCATCTCTCCATTGACATGTCCCGCCGCATCGAAGTGGATTTCCAGACAGGTCAGCTTGACAGCTAGGGCGGAAAGCATGTGGATAGGTGCTTGTTTCAATTTGAGGGCTGCTTGGGGATTTATCTGTGGCCCAGAGAATCTGTTAATAGGGGACTGTGATTCGAAAAGGGCTACTGCAAGTGTTTGTACTGCACGAGTGCATGCTGGTTTCCAATCTAATGATACTAATGGGTCTTGCGCACTGTCATGGCGATGGATATATTGCAAAAGTTCCCGTTCCGTCTCGTCCTGGACCTTCAAAATTTTTACATGTTGGAGTGATTTGAATGCTGCCATTGCCCTCTTTAGAGATGCCAAGTCTTCGCTGGTGTTGACAAGGAGTTTTTGTTCCTCGAGCCGGCGATGGTGCTCGGAAATTTTTAAATTACTGGAATCTGCCGCTAAGAACAGTTCACTGAGTCTGTCTCGATCTAAACGGGACGAAAAGAGAAAGACAGAGATGCGTTAGACACACCAAGGCTGGAAAAAAAAATGCGTGGAGTGAAAAGAATGGGGACGATTGGAGATATCATGAACAACCTTCAACGTAAAATGACCGAATGATATACGTGAAATTCCTGCAGTGCCTTGCCAAATGCGGAGAACCTGACAGCATATCCAGTTTCTGGAATGCGCTTTCAGAAAACCGCACCACAACGCGGCTAAACTTATGAGAAGCGCCTATGTCTGCAAAGCGTTTGCACACCTCCCTGAAACGGTCGATATCAGTTCGATGATCTTCCCGAAAACCATTCTTACTATCGTAAATGAGGGGTATTGGCTCAGGCGGGCTTGGGCGCTTGAAACTCTCGATAGAGAGGTATGCACGACGGTCGACGTTGATGCATTTTTCAGAATCTTGAGCCAAATGATCTAAGATTTCCTTGAACAACTCATTTGAAAGGCCCAATATACCTCGTGGCTCGTCCATCACTGGGTTTTGGGACACAGATGGTGGCTTTCTTGCTGGTTCAAAATCTAGCTCGTCGGGCTCGTTATGGGAGAGCCCTAAGCGCAGCGGCAAAAAGGCAAAAAAGGAAAAGAACCAACTAAACAGAAAACTGACAGGTTGGCGGATTTCTTTCAGTGACAGTGATTTAGTGGGTTATTAGAAGGGAAGAGGTTGGGGGGGGGGGGGGCGACCGTATATATTTCTATACTTTTGGGATGGGATTTTCTTTTCTTTTCTTTTTCTTTTTCTTCTTTTCTTTTTTCTTTTTTCTTTTTTATTTTTTGGAAATAAATATATAATATTGGAAGTTATTTGGCGCAAAATTAGAGTGATCGTATCGGTAAAAGGTGTGGTGATGAGACCGTCGTTCAACCATCAGAGAGGAAGGTAAAAATCAAAACTTTAAACAGGACTGAGGACAGAAACAACATAAAAGGGTCTTATAATGGCTCAGGACGGGACGTGGAAACGGGGAGACAAGTCGGGGCAAACACTATTTAGGGCTCGAAGAGATGGCAGCAAATGAGCATGCCGTAGCTGATAGGGTCCCCTTCACTTGGACACAGGCGACTCGGTATTATAACTACAGACCAATATAATGCACAGGCGCTTCCATCCCGTCGCCTCCGCCGTCGAGTAACAGCGACAAACGTGTGCTGTGAGCTGGGCTGCTGCTTCACCGATGCCAATCACCAGAGCTGCCACTACACCATCCAGTCACATGACCGGAAAAGCACCAGCAGATCCCAAGCCTGCTGCGGCAGTATGCGGGCCGCTGCGAATCCAGAAACGACCTGAAGCCCGAGGGTTGGGTCCGCGCCAGAGCCTGTGGCACGGATGTGGCGGGCAAATGGCTGTGAAGAGCGTCATCGTGCTGGTCTTGACACGATGCAGTCCGCAGAGCTTGGCTTCTCGTTAACCCAGCCAGAAATAGCCCCTAAAGACCTCCCGAAAATCCTTCAAGCGGATGCACGACCCAGTGCTGCAGAGTCCTTGCAACCCACCAAGCAAACCCCGCTGCTCGACTGGTCTATGCTTCAGATGGCGAATCACCATCGTGGACCAGCCGACAACAACGACATGGGTGGCATGCGGTCTGATGGGGCCGGGGGAGGGCGGTGGTGGGTTGGTCGAGACTTGAAATCCACAGGCGGGTTCAGTTCTGACCTAAAGAAGTGATGTGCCGTCATTTGACCATGGAATCTGAAAATGACTACCTGACCTCGTTCAGACTGGTCTTGCCTATAGGTAACACCGGCCGTGGTCAGCCTATGTATACAGTGTATTTTCATAGACCCCTGACCACTCACCTTCCTTTCTCACTCTGTTTGTTTGTGGTGGAGTCAGGTGCAGGTTCAGGGCTAACGCTGATTATGTAGGGTTTATCGTTTGACGTGTTGGTAAGCGCCATGTTGTAATTAGTCTACCGTACGATTGGATATTTATGCCAAACTGCACACACAGTATTTAACTTTATTGGCCTATTTTATTTTATTTTATTTTATTCTATTTTATTTTTATTTTTTATTTTAAGCTTTCTGTTGCAATTTACATCATCGTCATCCTCAGAAAGTAACATGTTCCCATGGACTAATGCCATGCTACATTGCCCTCGCGGGACAGATCTCTTACACGGGACAGATTAGTTACCCCTGATAGCAAACATCCAAGATGCCTCTTACCGATATACCTACCGTCAGACGAACATCCATGGACACAACGTATGTATGTCCATGTCCATGTACAGCGCATACATCACATTTTTGCGCTATGTTTCCTCAATACCATCGCAAATATGCAGCCTGTGAAACACATTCCCCACCAAATACCCCTCGCGGGCGGAACAGAACAGGGACTGGTGACGACAACTCAGGAACCCCCAACGAACTTTAATAATCATTGGCAATTTGAGAATGTCGTTTCTTCCCTTGTCCAGCACGGGCCCTCGTACCTCGCAGCCCTGTATGTTACTGTGCATGTACACACATGCATACAATCAGAGCTGCCCTATATCATCTGCATTCCACAGCAGGTTGCAAATCCGCCTAACTCGCCCCGTTTCTGTTCTCGAGAATTCTCGCCAACCATTTCAATGCAAGGATTATGAGTTTTTCCTATTATTTAGTACTAGAAGCAACGGGACATGAAAATAGTGCAAAAATGTCTGAAGTAAGACGGGGCATCGCTCAATAGAGCTGTCAACTTCTAATCTCTGACGGCCCAGTATCTATTCACCATCCTTTGCCGCCCAGTTGCATCTTTGCTGCATACAATCCAGTCTCTTCACCTGAATCTTCCCTCGACGAATTATCTTCACTTCAAGGCAGACTTTCTTATTCGTTGCTTTTTCTCTTCTCTGATTTCTGATTGACTCAGCTTTTCGGTCCCCCCATTCATTTTACCTTATCCATCGATTATTCACCATTCTTACTCCTCAATCTTTGCTAAAGGGAAAAGTCGCCTTTACATTGATATCTTCGGCTATGTTCTTTGCTTTTTTCTTTACTTTCTCTTCAGCCCCTTTTGCATGCCATTGACTTGTTTTATCATTCTTAATAGAACACTATTTTAGGGTTGTTTTTCACTATCAAAAGCGCCAAAAAAGTGTGGGACTCGTTCAAGAAAATAATAACGCTATATGTTTTGTTTTGTTTGTCAAACGTATCCGGATGTGCCCTATTAGCTTTTTCGGACAAAATATTCTCAAGGACCAAAAAATAGATTTCAAGTCGTTTCGTGCAAACGTAAGGGGGGCATTATTGAATATCATGACGCAACTACAGCAACCCCCGCATTTCACAAGAGCCAAAACCTAGTCGACGGGCGAACGACCTTTTCCAGTCAAAATGAGGACCCGTCTATTTCTCTTGAAGCACAAATATGATGTACTGTTAATTAAACAGGAGATCGGCTTTGATCTCAAGTCCTCCAACGGGGAAAGTATAAGCGCCTGATCTATACAGGTTCGCCAGCTTACGTATCGCGCGTCCACACCGGTTCACATTGAAAAGAACTTTGTTCTTCTAAACATAAATATGTATTATCCTCCTCACATACATTCAAAATTGGTCCGATCGCTACGACGTTTATTGAAGTGGCAAGATCCACATCCTCATAAATTCCCCTTGGCCAAGTTCATTTGGCGTCGACGGATCTCAGTACTGCTTATCTTGCTTTCAAAATTCTCTCCTGACTCTCCCTTGCGCTCATCGTCATCAATATCCAAGACGTCAACTTCAAAGATCTCCAGTTTCGACCACCCCTTCTTCTCCCGTTCGTCATTCACTGCCTTACCGCCCGATCGAGTCTCCTTGGACACGACCAAAGCGCTTATGTCTTCGTCTGTGATTGTGGGGCCGAATGTATCAGAAATCCGAACAAATTTGATATCCAAGTCCGGTGACACTCTCACGCGGACATATTTGCCATTTGGGCCGGGATGATTGACATGCTCGATATGGTTGCCGGCGCTGGTGTTGGTGGCTTGATCCCCAAGGGGTCGCGCAAAATCTATTATTGATTCCAGGAACGCCCAAACACCGCGCCATCGTTCATCCCAGCTTTCAAGGAAATCTGCATATTTTTTATTCACCAGTAGCTCATCCCCCGTGATGCCAACGATGATAGTCCTCTGAGTTGGCTTAGAAGACCTTGGAGGTGCTGCATCGACGGCAAGTGCGGTTGCCGTGAGTAGAAGTTTGTGCCCTGCATGCAGATGGTCGAAAGTACCTCCAACAGCTACAGAATAATGACGGCACGGATGCAGTTCGGGTTCTTCAAGAACAACATGGGGCGGTTTTAACCCTGTCAAACCCGCAAGTTTTCGAATAATGGGAGCCGTATTTGGTTGCCCTTGTTGGTTTAGTGTTAGGGTAAACGCATCTAAGAGCAAATCCCCTTCGACTGTCCCCAAAGAAAACACTACTCTCCAGGAACGACCGGAAACTGTGAAATCAGCCAGTCGAATGATTGGGCCCATTCTAGGACGGGAAATCTCGGTGCAGCCCTCGTCGTTGGTTTCATTTTCGCCGGTGGTATCATTGTTTTCGTCGTCAATAAAAAAAACCCTCGCATCTACCCCACCTGGGCCATCCAGCTCAACGGATTGCCCAGCACTGATCACTCCAAGGAGTCTATAAAAAGAAGCCAACAAGTGCTGCAAATGCGCGAAAGCTCTGCCTCGTGGCGCAGAATCCGGTGCAGCCAGCCCACGGATGGTGATTCCAATATCTAACACTGCAGTGCCGTTAGTTCCTCTGATGGGACGAGAGAGGTCGGCAAGGACTGTTGACAGTGCAGGGCCGTATGCAGCCTTCAACGAAGAGAACGAGGTTGAAGGGGTGCCAGGAAGCAGCAGCAATGCCTCATGATAACGAGAGTTATTGCCAATCGCCATATCACTCCAGATTCACATACCCCAGGATATAAGAACTTGATTTAGAGCACAGCGGGATCATGCGTAAATGTGGATGAGGCAAAACAAATTTAGATCGAAGAACGAACGGACGTTTGTCGTAGAGATTAGGCACCGGGCGCATGTAGAGACACCTGGCAATCATTTCAGACCGGCAAATTTATCAATCCGGACCAAGGTTAATATGAGTATCCCCGTTCCTTTTCATACGACCTTTTCTCTGGTCTTTATACACAATTGGCGGGGTTGTTTCTTCCCAACCACTCGAACGAACAATGAGCCGAGGGAAATCTTTGGCCAATTAAAAGATTGGAACCTTTCAAACGGGATATAATCACGTGACTTACAATGACTTGCAATTCCAAGGCCGCTGCTGCTTAGTCATTATAGCCAAGCTAATTTACGCTCCAAGTAACTAGCGTTGACGTCGAGGTCGAGATATCAAATCCCCCCAAACCCTCTTCAGCTGGTTAATATGCCTCTGAACGAGCATCGCCATCTCCCCTACTCAACAGGAAGTGCAAAAAATGATCACCCAAGTCACATTAGTGCTACTGATGGAATGTTACACGCTACCCAGGTGCTAGGTTCTGTTGCTGCTCCCACCATAAGCTTGCACGCTGGTCCCTCCAACACTACCTCCCAAGGATCGGACGTCCTCTATTTCTCCAACGATCATCCTAAGGGATCCAATAGTGGCGGGGACCTGGCAGATACGAGGTTCTCCCGGCTCCCAGGTATTGAGGCGGGAGAAAGTAACTCTGCGTCTACTGCGTCGTCAAATTCTACTATGACGGAACCGTCTCAGTCCTTCAATGGTCCCCGGCGGCAACCAAACTTTCCCCGGCAGCCAGAGGAACTACACATACCTGCACCAAACAACTCGCTAGGCTCGAATGGCCCCCTTCAGGGCCAACATCAATTTCCCTCTGCACCTGACTATGGCGCGCCATCGATCAATATCCAGCTCTCCCAATTCTCCAACAACACCAATAACAACACGACATCACACCCAGGAGTACTGCAACCGGGGCCCGGAAACCGTGCGGGTCCGGCCAATATCACCACTGCACCAGCTCTACAATCGCTACCGTCGTTAGCCACGCAGCCGATCTCTCCTAACACGCCTTCAAAATCCAGTCAGTCAAACCAATCACAGGCTTACTCAAGAGCCAGCCCGTCCGTGTATGATCAGCAAAAATATAAGCAAGTCGGGAGCACGCCTGATAGCGGGAAGTACATAGGATCAACGTCAACCACTTATGCACCACAGACGCCTCAGACATCACCATTCTCACCGCTCGGTTTGGCTGATATCAGACCTCATATTGATACTACAATGTCGGAAGACGCTGGCAGCACAGTGACAGGAAACAATAATGGTGATGTGCAATACCCTAAAAATAGCAATTATCTCGCCCCATGGGCTGTATATGCCTTGGACTGGTGTAAATGGCCTGTTCCACCAGGCGGGTCTTCCTTTGGAAAGGTTGCACTAGGGAGCTACCTTGAAGACAGCCATAATTACGTATGTTGGGTTCACTGAACATTAGGCTAATTTGGCGACAGTGGTTGGCTTTATCCCAGAAATGTATAACTAACTATCGTTACAGATTCAAATTCTAAGTAGCCAGCGCGCTTCTGCCGATGTTCCAGAATCTCCAGACGGAAACCCTGGTTTAGACTTCATTAAGACTGCGGAGGCTACACATTCATATCCGGTGACAAGGATATTATGGGAGCCACCTTCGTCCCAGAAGCAATC